TGAGCCACAAAATTGTGGTGAATAAATCAATTTATTTGACAAAAAAAATTATTTTGAAATCATTTTTATTGAACAATATAACTAAAGTTTAAAGTATACATCAATTCATGTTTCATATATTTGAACTGAATTGCATTAATATATTTCTTTTAATTACTTCTGTATGTTAGCTTGAATTTAGGATTAGCATTATGCAAATAATATTACATCAGCTTACTACTAATCTGTGGAAAGGCTGATTATCAAAATCAGGGAACACCTTTTTTCTAGGGTTGGGGCGTGTGACTATGTTTACATGGACATCAGTAATCCAATTGTTTGCCTTAATCTGAATAAGACAACACTATGATTAAGGTGTTTACATGAGTTGCTTTTTGAATGTTCCTTTTATGATCTTGTTTTACATGTTACAGCACATAAATCGATTAATGTCATAGCGTCACCACGCTATCCATGTTTCTTCCGGAATTTCATGTGATTTCGGGTGTTTCATTTTTAATTTTTTAACAGCTGTTTTACTTGATGTTAATCTTGGGGTTGGGGTTGGTGTCAGGTCATGGGCCCTTGATAAAACAATGAAAAACTGTAGTGTCACAGACAGCCAAGTAAATACAGTAAGTAAGTAAGTAATGTGTATTTATATAGCTCATTTATCATGTATGGCTATACACCCAAATCGCAATCATGAGGGGGGTCTCTGTAAAACACCACCAGAGTGCAGCATCCACTTGGTTGATTAGACGGCAGCCACAGGACAGTGGAGAGACAGTGATTCGATGGATGGAGATAATTGGTAGGCCATGATGGGTAGGGGCCGATGAATATAATTTGGCCAGGACACCAAGGTTACACATCAACTCTTTACAAGAAATACCATGGGATTTTTAATGATCACAGAGAGTCAGGACCTCGCTTTAACAGTTTAGTGTCATCCGAAAGACACGCTCACTGACAGTATAGTGTCCCCTTCACTATACTGGGCTATTAGGACTCACACAGACTGCAGATTGGTGGCCTCACTAACACTACATGACATATATGTTTATGACGGTGAAGATGATTCAAAGTACCCAGATAAACCTGTTAATTTTAGCGGTTGTTTTCTGGGAATAACATACCTTGGAACGCATGCCTGACCAATCAGTATCAAGTATTCCAGGAAGCTGTGTAATAATTGAAGTTAATGTATTAATGTGTTGCTGCTATGGTAATAATGGGCACTAATTTTACCTTCAAATGTCTGTGCCTAAGGCTGTGTCCCATTACTTTGAGGGCTTTACTTTGAAAGGCTTCAAAGAAATGAGTGTAGTGGACCAAAAATATTTTGCATCTCGCTTCAGCATCACAAATTAAACATGTCCATCATTTGTACTCCCCAAAATCCTTCATTTATGAAGGGCCCGTTGAAGTGTTCAGATTTGCACAGTTTGGAGTGATTCTTTAATATAACAGCCATGATTTTTCTTGTTCCAAAATGACTTTTGGAGGTGCATACCATTTTTTTTATCTATATCTAAAAATAATTAAATAACATACCTTATCTGTTGTTGTTTTAAATTGTCAACATAGAGTATGTTTTGAGATATTTTTGGACCATACACAGATTGTCTTATAGCAAAATATTTTATCATCTATTTAAAAAAAAGGGCATATTTGTTTCAACATACTGCCAAGGACCAAATTCATTGGCTGGGAAAGTTGTCAATCAATCAATATTATGTTTTCCGTGTCCTTCATGCATGCACTGCCTGCACGGATTGAACAAGCTGGAAAAAAAAAAAAAAAACGATCCCCGGATTACACAATTAAGTTTCCCGTGCAACTCAGCTTTCCGTCTGCATCGACAATTTGGCTTTGGCTACCGAGTGCTAGTTAAGACCCTGAGGGAGAGAGAGAGAGACTGAGAGAAGATGAGAGACAGAAGATATTGAGATTTAAAGATAGAGTGAGTCAGTAAGAAAAGGGCAGATGGAAAACACCCCAGGCTTAGATGAAGAGAGAAATAGAATTAGCGATATATGTCGAGAGCCGGCTGTGAAAAGCTAGAGGAGTGGAGCAATGAGAGCCGGTGAGGGAGTCTTACGGGGAAGAGAGAAGCCCGACTTCCCTGGAAGAGGTTAAAAGCAGGCAGTCGGCGGCCCTCATCAGTCATTCTCCTGAATGGGATTTGAGGACAATAAACCTGTAGCACCCGGACGAATGGAGACGGAGTGCGCTGTCAGCAGCACACGATTTATGGTGCCCAATTCCGCTGATCTCCCGCACAGAAACTCGGACTGATAAACAGTGATTAATCACCTTTACATCCGATTTCAGCACCGCCCCCTCCCCCAACAAAGTACATTAAATGCGGTCATAATTATTTCACGCGAAAGCTACCCGCTTTTTTTGAACGGTGGGAAGGAATCTAGGGGCAACACGTGGGCGTTCATTCTGGAAGGTTCCTTATTTAGTAAGCGAAATCTATATCTTATTTCCATTTTGTAGCCTCTCCACCGGTCGCTCCCAGGGGAACAGAGGAGGCATATGGTGCCGTTTAGGCTTGGCGAACTTTAGAGGCATGTTAAGACGACTTGAAAAATTAGCATCCAATAAATCAAATGACGGCAGCACCCTGAGCCAAGCCGTTGAAGTGCCGGACCACAGTAAATCTGATTTGATGGGATGTTTTGGGAAGGTGCATGTTCGCATGGGAGTGTATTTGCTGTGATTAGAGAAGAAATCACATGCATGTTTCGGAGCATACGTGGGGTCCAAAGCATGCATAAATATTTTACATGCAGCGAATTGCTGAGCATTTGCATTTTTACGCACACTACATATGCATATCATGTGTATTCGGTTGTGTAACGGCCGCATTCGATTGTGTTTATGCATGCCAGAATCAGGGGAGGAAGGGAGGAGAAGGAGGAGAGGGAGGGGAAAAAAAGTCAGATAAAAATGATAAACGACTGCTTTCTGTCACCGATGGTTATTTAGAGTTTTGCTGTAAAGCTGTCCTGAAATGAACAGATTTTAGTCTAATGAGCAAAAAGGCAGGCCGTTAAAGAGCTGCTATGTGCTCAGCACTTCTTCCAAATGAAATACTGTAATACCATTTCCCCCTCATTAGGATGCAAAGGGCTCAAAGAACCAACGGCAATAAAGAAATCAAAGACTGAGAGGGGAAACGACAGCACAAAAAAAAGACAACAAGTCAGTCAAAACAAAGACTTGTTTAATATGGGCTTCAGAAAACAGTGTGTACCACTGCTTTATCTCAGAGACTGGGGAATGATGGTCTGGCTGATTACCTCGGCGTCTGTCAACACCACGCCGATAAATTGCAGAGCTTGTGCATATGCATCCACCTCACTACAATCAGATGCTTTCTTTTCTACTGTTTTCACAACACTTTCATTACTCTCAAATGCTGTTGTTGGTTAAAGCAGGCACACAACTTCATAAGACGTTAATTATAGGTTAGATGATGTCAGGTGACCAAAATTCAATGTCTAGCCAACATTTAAAGACAATGTTATTTTGATGTCCAATATCGATGCCAAATTATGTTGATATTTGGTTGATTTTAGGTTGGATATTGACTTTGGCCTGACATTGGGATCTGACGTCAACCCAATTTTTATTTCCAACAAAATCCTAACGATGTTAGGGTACAATGCCAATGTGACATCATGTTAATGTCCTGTTCCTGCAGGGGTGTCAGGTTGTTGGTTAAAAGCTGTCAAGGTATTCACAGCTTCTTTTTACTTCTAATGACTGCATGATTTTAGTCCCGATTTTAACTCGCCGATAGGTTTTGAGAAATCTCCAACAAATGGCTGAAATCACAGGCAAATCGGTGCTCGTTCACATGAGTAACAGTCAAACAGTGTGAACTATCAACGACATGATTAGTGTTAGCACGCTAAAATCTGTGAGATATTTGGCGTGCTAAATATCTGGAGCTTTCTCTTTTTTATATAATTATTTTTAGTGGTTTTCACTTTTAATGTGATAGATAAATGAAGGACAGACAGGAAAGATTGGGAGCAGAGAGAAGGGAAGGATCGGCATAGGATCTCGAGCCAGGAATCGAACTCGCGTCACTGTGAGCACCTTGGCGCCATATGTCAACGCACTTAACCACAATGCAATTGGCGCCGACAGTGTAAAATGTTTTTTTTTAATCGAAAATAACATCGCTGATCATCTACAGCCAATGAGAGAACAACATCCACTAGTATGAGTATCTGCAGGCCAGCGGGAGGTTGGGGAAGAATTTTAAAAATGCTAATTTTCAGGTTATTTGAACCCAAGAAATGGAGGAAAAACTTGGCAATAGAGGAAATTTGGCAGGAGCACCCGTGTCTGTTTGACATGTTATATGGGAAATACCACAACTGGGTCGAAAAAGAATAAAGCTGTGGAGAAACTGAATTCCCTTCAAAGCCAGGCGAGCAAAATACATACATTTTCTACTTAACTAAAAACTTCTTTCTTATTATGTAGTTAATGACAAAAGATATACTACTTGACCTCTCGCTGTTTTCATGTCACTTCTCGCGTGTGTTTGGTTGTGAGATGTAGTTTGGACAAAGATGTCTTCCTACTGTAAAGTCATGCAGTATGAAACCCCCTGTCACCAATCCATCCAAAACACAGCAGAGACGGAAAGCTACCACAGATAGTCATACAGTGTGAAAACATCCGTGACATGACTACTTTGAAAATCATGCAGTCTGAACTTGACATAAGCGAAAAATTGGAAAAGACTTTCACTGAAAGTACACCATGGCCTTTGATTCAAGTACTCTTGCACACTTGCAAGAGCATTAGCGACAAGTGCTGCAGTTCCCTAATCAACCACCTGTGTCGCTAATAAAAGTGAATTCTACATATACATTCCTTTTAAAGTGACTGTCTTTTTGATCTTAAAATCAAAGCACATCTGAAGAGCAGCGAATCAAAGTAAGTATCTGAGCGAGACCCTACAACCACAACACTCAATTGCAGTTTACCTGCATAAAATTCAGGACCATAGACAGCTCCCACCACTGGATTCAGCTTCCAGCCTGTAGAGGAATACACAGGGGAAGAGAGAATTAGCTCCGAATGCTTATCGTGGGGACCTGTGGGTTGTTTGTTTCTCGATCTTCCGCCGCTGAACTCAGGGGAGTGACAGTAATTTCAAAATAAAGAGACGGATTCAGAGGAAAGAACAAAAGGAAAGGGAGAGGTGGAAATATGATATGACAGGAAAATATTTAAGGCGACATTAAGTTGAAGGAGTTAGGGGGCAGCAATATTGGGGCATTCGGAAGAGTGCAAGCGATATAGGGTGTGAAAGGGAGAGGGGGGATGAGAGACAGAGAGCAAGAGAGTAGTGAGTGCTGTCCGGTGCGCTGTCAGTGATAGATGGGGGTTGTAAAATAGCCTCTTCTCACTCCCCATTGGCTGTGGCTGAAGAAGTGCAGGGGGTGTGGGGGTCTACACTGCTGCTGATATATTCGATTCTTTCATTCTCCTTCTCTGTTTGTCTCTTTATTGCAGTCTGAGGGAATGAGCATCTGCGGAAGAGCTCAGGATGCCGGCAAGACCCCTGCTCTGAATAAGACTCCTCTAAAGACCATTTTAAGAGATGTAAACAAAAACAATGGTCCCAATGTACTTCAGTGTACTTCATGTTTTACATTTTCTAATTTCTAAAGCTTCCAAAAACCCAAGATCCACATCTTGATAAATAATGTGAATGTTTAACATTAAGTTATGCTTAAATTGCCTATTGTTACAGTTATGAAATAGTTTATTAACAGGCATGAAATTTTCATGGGTCATTCATCATGTTTATTCTCACATTGGTCTATACCAGGGGTGGGCAAACTCGGTCCTGGAGGGCCGGTGTCCTGCACAGTTTAGCTCCAACTCTAATCAAACACACCTGCTTATAGATTTCTAGTGATCTTGAAGACGATGATTAGCATGTTCAGGTGTGTTTGATTAGTGTTGGAGCTAAACTGTGCAGGACACCCGCCCTCCAGGACAGAGTTTGCCCACCCCTCGTCTATACCCATGATTAGCTATGCTCATCAGCTAAAGTCTCCAATCTGACCCTCAGTACAGCGTAAGGAGAGCTAAAGGGAAAGGATTGTTCTTTATAATGAGTTTTAATAAATATTTGGGTAAATAATTCACACATCAGAAATACTGCTTAATGGCAGCTTTAAACAGCAGCTCTAGAAAATCAGTTTATACTGCATTAGTATATATTATCAAGAAAATAACAAATCAGTTTCAAAACATGAGTAGGAAGGTGGAAGCTTTAGTCTAAATATAAAAAATATGAATGGTTTATAATTGTTTGCATAAAATATTGTTTTTCTAATATTATATATAACAAAATCGAGTTTAACTACGGTTGTGATCATTGAAATGTTCATAGTTGTTGTTAAGAGATAATCAAGATGGAAACACCTCAAATAAAATTGTATAAGCTGTTTGAAAGCTAAAACATGTTAGTGTAAACAGGGCCTAAATGATTGGTTTAAAGATGCTTCCAAAATGATAAAAAAAATGAAGCTTCTTCTGACAAAGTTCTTTCTTTAGCATTTAATTTTTTAAAATAACGCAACGAGAGCCATGTATTCTAAGTGAAGAACTATGCTTGGGGATACCAATGTGTTCAATTATAGACTACAAAGAAATACCAAAAGCACTCACCATTTGTATAGGGGTTGGCCACTTTTTTGTTTGTCATTACTCGTGCCGTTGCATTATTTACCTGTGAAAAAGACAGCAGGTATGAGAAGCAGAACACAAATCAGAACACTGAGTAACAAAAAGAAATTCAGTTCATGCTTCTCTGCGAAGTAACAAAAAAACAACATCAACATTCACATGCTCTAATTATCACTTGAAAAATCATGAGACGCGAAAAAATGAAAGCGATCCATCAAGCTCTGATCTTCTGTTTTCCTGCTGGATGTAGGATCTAATCCAGGCTGTTTGTAGAAGAGTTGGATGATGACATCTGGTTCAACATGTAATGAAACAGAGCAACTCTGGAAATGGGCTTTAATGAAACCCAGAGTATATTGGAATTCCCCACTAGCCAAGCTGAGGGAGCTTCCTTGAGGCTTTTCTCCGCAATTTCATCTGCCACATTGTCTAGACGCTTCTACATATTCCCAGACACTACAACCCTGAGGCGTTGACTTCATGAGCACTAAATTTAACCTTGGGAAGGCGGAGCCATATTGTACGAACACCAGAAAATGAATGAGATCGTTACACTTAATATGGCACCTGGACTATGAACATGCACTTTAGCTGAACCGGCCTGAAAATATATATAGTTGAAGGCAAAATGATTAGCCCTCCTCTGAAATGTTCTTTTTTCAAATATTTTCTAAGTGCTGTTTTATGAAGAGAAGTTTTTTTACACACATTTCTTTTGCCTATAAGTTTTTATAACTAATATCTATTTCTAATTATTTTGTCTATGGCATGATGACAGTACATTGTATTTTACTATGCACTTTGCAAGATTAAAGTATTTAGCTTTAGGAACTAGCCCTCTACTGCATTCATTATGATAGATTTGTAAAAAAAATATTTGACTGTTTTTCTTTTCATAGAATGACTTAACTGCATTACTGTAATTTTTTAAAAAATTTTTTATGTACTTTATGATATGTTTGCATATGGCAACAACATCCAATAGTGGATACAACTTAGAAATTTCAAATTAACACATTCCTTATAATTAATAATGATGTTGTTTGTTTTGATTTAATTGGTGTTGCAGTATTATGAGCTTTAACACAGAACTTCTAAATGACACCTTATACATACTTTCCAACAACTGATACTCCAACTGCTTTTTATTTATTCCATTCTTTTTGCTGAATATTATTGAAAACAAACATAATATCTTATTATCATATATGCAACATACAGAAGGTATAAATATTTCCTTCAGTAAATATTATAACAAAAAAATATAATATAACAGTCTAATATAGATGCATAAGCATAATGTAGCTACCAGCTAACAGTGTTTATATATTATACTTTATACAACGGTTCTGTCTGGTTCTTGAATCTGATTGGCTGATAGCTGTGAGATATTTTGCCAGTAACAGCACACAAAGGTCTCTTCACCTTTGTGTATTACTCTGCCCACATACAAGCAGAGGACGCTGCACAGTTTGACAAATATTCCTGCTGTTGGGCAACATAATGTACTTTTGGGGCTTTTTTAGTCGAAAATGTAGTTGTTTAGATTGCAACTATGCAGTCTATTTATAATCATAGTGCCTATTTTAAAATATTAATAATTTCTGAAAGACAGTGCATCGGTGTCCATTAGACAAAGACAGTTAACGTTGTCTATCCACAAGATGGCGTCAGGACCGCATAATAAGCCCTTGCTGTAAGATTAAAACTGCATGTTTTATAACAACACTTGATCAAATTAGTTAGTTTGATCAAAACTGGTAAGTGATATTCTGAGTTTCTTTATAAGGACAGTGCCTATTTTAATACAGTCACTTTCCTATTCCGGTTCTCAACAGTGTTATTCAGAGACCTCACCCTTGAACACCCCCTCCTTATCGCAAACACAACAGCAGTCTGGTAGTGATTGCGCTGCTTTTTTTCAGGGTTAATTATTGTGATATTCTGATTGCAACAGAGAAACACTGTAGACTAATAGACTGTAAGGAGATATCTCTCAGTTCAGCCTTATAATCTGGCAGTTCAGCCTTATAATCTTAAAATGTCAGCAAAATCAGCTGTTTTGTCATCACTTTATACATTATGCTTGAGAATCATTCAAACACTAGCCCTAAAGTGACGTTGGTGAATTAGTTATGACTTCCGCTGTTTTGACGTCAGCTGCAGATGTGGATGAATGGCGGAAGAAAGTACTTCCTAGTACAAAAGGGTTATTAGACTCTCTGTGTTTGATTTTCTTTCTTATATACATGACTGTGCCATTGAATTGTTGTATAAACGCAATTTTACACTCGTAGCAGTGCGATTTGGCAGTATATAAAGACCAGTGCTGATATACAGCCATATCGCACTTCTACGAGTGTGATATTGCTCATATATACTATACAATGCCTGTCCTATCTGCTTCTGAGCTAACTTTATTGAACTATTTCCATCACTGCTCTTATCAAATGTCCAATCTACATCATTCTCATGGTCACTATAACCCATTTCTCTTTCATCTGCAGGAAAAGTTCTGTCATTTTCTTCTTTACCTACCATAGAATATAGTGGTCCTCACTAATACACTTTTCTCTTTATTTATATCTAATCAAAAATACTGCCATTAAAAAAAAAAAAAAAAAAAAAAAAAAAAAAAAAAAATATATATATATATATATATATATATATATATATATATATATATATATATATATTTATATATATATATATATATATATATATATATATATATATATATATATATATATATATATTTCTTTTTTTTTGCTTATCTGACATCAGTTGATCCTTTGTTTTTATTGACGTTTTCATTTGCATTTAGCAACTACTCGAAATAAACAAAGGTCTGTCAGACATCATGCCACAGAAAAACACTGCACGTCATGTGATTTAACCAAAGCACATCATTGGCTAAACTAAGGTCTTCTGTTTCCAGTTAAAAAACTTAGAATGTTGGTCTTAAAGAAACAGTGGCAGGGAAATGAACATAAATATCATGCTGCTGTATGGCAACACCATGAGGTAGAGTGCTAGTATTAACCACAATTTAGAGACTTAACTAAGTTTATTAGGTTAACCAGCAGCCAAGCAAAATAAAAAAAAAAAAATCAATTTTAAGGAGGTTAATAATGTTGATCTTAAAAATTGTTTTAAAAAAAGTAAAAAATCCTCCTCTTTATTTGACTTTATTCAGAGGAACAATATAGGAAATACTGTGAAAATGTTCTTCCTGCGTTAAACAGCACTTAAACAAGGAAATATTTGAAAAAAATATATAAACATTTTCTCAGAGAGCTAATCATTTTGCCTTCAACTGTTGTTTTTTTGCATAATTCAGCAACACCGTTATCCATTTTGGAGCTTTAGTTAAAATAAATAGGAGCTATGCTGCCTACACAGAAAATAACTGCTCGGGGACATTACCAAGATGGCCGCCAAGTGAACCCACTTCCCTTAAAGGGACTTTAGTAACACAGAGACAGGCCAAGCAGCTTGTTGGGAGGTGCCGAAGGAATTTAAACATGGCCGCTGGCAACAGAAGCCGTGTTAGTATTTCACCCTCATGTTAATTAGCGTTAATAGCTTTCCGTTCCACAGGGCCCACGGAGGTCATTTAGCTTGAGGAAACAACTGGCCTCGACTCCCCCTTGATATATAGGTCTAGGTATTGTTTGTGCATTACATGAATTATCTTAATTGTCCTATAGAAAATCGTAATAGCCCTGTGGAGAAAAGGAAAAAAAATAGAGTGTTTGAAAGGCGAAATAAACCTCAGCTGTTTGGGATAAACAACTGGGACTTTAAGTTACATTGACAGGCCTTTGATATATCGAGATGCATGTTTTTCCAGAGTCTGTGCATCACATTACCGGTTAAGCGATGCTAGAAAGTTCAAAAGCTTCTTTAAATACAGTTGCACATAAAACATCAAAGCAGAAAGGATCAAATCGGATGGCATGCATATCAAACACGCATGCACAATAGATACGACTAATATTATTTGCACTAAACATGCAGAATACAAACAGCAAGCATAATTTAGAGATGCAATGTGGTGAAATGAGACGCTGCATGCACGTTCCATCGGTGCTTATTCTTTTCTCATGGGACATGGTGTTGGAATGGAGGGTATGGATAGTTAGATTAGGAAAAGCACCTCAATTTTGCGTCCCTCTACGATTGTACCGTTTAATTTCTCCCGTGCACGGTCTGCATCTGCACTTGTTTCAAAAGTTACAAAACCAAAACCCTGAGATAAAGGATTCCAAATGTTGGATGATGGGGTGGTTGGAAAAAGATTTGAATGGGCAACAGATAGAGTGAGTGAGAAAAGAAGAAAGAAGAGAGAGAGAGAGAGAAAGGTCAGCAGGGTTGCAACATCTATCCATTAGTAAGAAGTGAAATTAAGTCTTGAGGGTGGAAAAAAGACATTGAGAGTTTAAGAAGTTCAACAGTGACCCTTTTTGCAATAGGTTTAGGCCAGAATGCTAATTCAGCAATCATTTACTAATCCTCATGTCATTCCAAGGCTATCATTTAACTTCAGAAAACAAATGGAGATATTTTGATAACACTTTAGTTTGAGTACCAATTATCACTATCAAATAGTAGCTTATTACCTGTTATTAACACATTGGCTGTTTATCAAGTACATTTTCTGCATGATCTTATTGTATACTCCTAATCTAACACCTAAATCTAACCACTATTTTATTAACATTACTAAACAGTAATTTAGGAGGTTTAGTAATATTAGTCGAATGTTTTTGACCAAACCTTCATGATTTATCTTTCAACTGAAAGAGTTTAAAAACGAGATCTATGTAATCATGCAGTTTAATCTAAGTCTTCAGCTTGATGTGCAAAACCTTATTGAGTACGTTTACATGGCCACCAATAATCCGATTTTAATACAAGTAAGACAATACTCAGATTAAGAGTCACCCATGTAAACAGTGATTTTTGATTACTTTAATCTGATTAAGGTCATAATTGAACTAAACAGAAATGTAATTAAGACGTGGAGTATGCCAATTTTAGTTGCATTATTAAAGCACATACAAACATGTAAAGACGTTAATCAATCAATGTGTTATAACATGTAAAATGGGATCATGAAAGAAACATTCAAAAAGGAACTCATGTAAACACCTTAATAATATTATTGTCTTATTCAGATTAAGGCAAATAATTTTATTACTGATGTCCATGTAAATGTAGTCATTGTTTAATGAAGTTCAAAGGTGCCACCCAAGAGCGAAGCTCACTGGGTATCACGTATTAAGCTAGCATAGGAGCTTCTGTGACCCAATCAAAAGACGCTTCACTTATTGATGTGAAAAAAAAAGCGCCATTCTGCTGAATAGACTTAAGTTCATTGCACATCAATTCCAAAATTTTTGTATGAAATGTCGCAGATAAAAAAAAATTGTCTAAACCTTTGTCATTCCACCAGTGTCTGTTCATGACCAATTCAATTTAATGGACACAATATTTCCTCTTTTGTTTTTTTTAAAGAGAACGTAACTTATTCACATCAGTGGCTGCGTTTTCATCCACCTATTGTGGATTGTCATGTGATTTTGTTGTAAGTGATCATGTGATGATAGAAATGTGTGTGAATGGATAAACCAGCAGGCTGAGCACACTGTGAAGCAACTGAAATGTTGTTTTGGACAATCCAAATGCCTTAACCATTTCAGTATTAGTGTTATTATAGGTAAGAAGTCTGTGCTCTGCATCTGACACCTTTAAATGCCATCATCTTCTGAGGCACAAGTCATTTATTAAATAAAGAAAAGCTTCAGTTAATCAGGAAGTGACTATTTTGTTCTCTTTGACTCATTGGAAGCTTTATTCGCACGTCTTATCTGCGATATTCTAGTTTTGCGCATCTTTAGATGGAAACATAGCTAATGATTCTGTTGCAACAAATTCATTAATATGCATTAGACAATTTTTTAGGTTAATGAATACAAAATACATATATATATTAAAAAATTCAGACTAAGTGTGCAAAGACCTTTAGAATAGAGGGACACATATTTCTCATACTTTAATAAAAAAAAATTTTTTTTTAAAGACATAAAAGCTTGATTTGAGATACACTAAACAAGTAAATGACAACCATTTTCATTCTGGCCTAAACTCCCTCATTAATCCTGCAACACATGGCTTGCATTTGTTCATTAATGTATCTGAAAACATCAAAAAGTTTTTGTTAATAAATACAGATATTGTCCTCATCTACACCATGACGTAAGGAATATTTCCAAGGACACATATAAGCTCATATAAGGTCTAATGCTGTATAGCAGGGAAGTGTCTCCTCTATCCCGCACCCCCACCTCCGCTGTCAGTGGTGAGTTATGGCCAACTGCAACCCAAACGCCATATCCGGAACAGCTATTAGGTATGCATAGCAAACAAGAGCGTGGAACAAGCCCTGGTCTTTTAGTTCATACACAGTTTGCAAGTACGGCCTGGTAATTGCTTTGGGAGGCCTGTGAGTATGATATGCATACATGGACACTCTATTCCTTGTGTCTGGCATGAATAAAGACCAGCCCTGGAGTCCTTGGCCCGCAAGGAAACAGAAAAATCAAAAAGGAATGGGCCGCAAAATTAATCCTTTTGACATTTTGCGCTACTGTGTTCAACATAGTGTTTATAGTTTTTCTCTCTTTTTATCACGTATTTAATTAGCTTACACTGCTAGAAAGCTGAGGCACAATCTTGTAAACAACACAAACATACTCTTTCGCAATGATCCAAAACCTAGTAATATGCCTACATACAGAAGATATATTTTAAATGATCATAAGAACAGAGGATTTCATAACAGTAGGTTTAATTACTCTTGCTGCTTACTAAAAATCATTTTTTGTTGTTATTAAATAACTCTTTTATAATAATTTTATAACATGATGAGTATTATATTATATTATTTTATAATTATTATATAGTAAATTATAGAATAATTTTTAGACAAGAATAAAATGTGAGCAAAATTACCTGTTTTGTCATCACTTTAGATATTACGCTAGAGAATCATTGAAATACTAGCTCTAAAGTGATGTTTGTGAGTTAGCAACGGTTTTTGCTGTTGTGCTGCAGATGTGAAAGAATGGCTGAAGAAAGTAGTTCCTCGTACAAAAAGAGCTTTAAGACTTTTCATGATTGATTGTCTTTTTTTTATACATGATTATGCCGTCAAACTGTTGTATTAATGCCATATCACATTCGAAGCTTCCCACCAGTGCTGATATACAGCAATATCACATATATATAAATATATGTATACATATAATTATAAATAAATAGACAGACAGACAGACAGACAGACAGACAGACAGACAGACAGATAGATAGATAGATACATGTAGATAGATAGATAGATAGATAGATAGATAGATAGATTTTACACATTATATTAACACATTATTTGTTAATATAAAAACTTAAATGTATCATGTCATAAATAATGTATTATTTATATTAATTATATATTTATGTCATAAATAATAACAAATATTTTTATTATTATTATAGATTAGAATAGAATGTTATAAATACCCCAAAATAATAATTATATTTTTAAATAATTTTTATTACAAATTAGTATATACTTTTATAATAATACATGCATTATTATAATATTTAGAATATCTAATATAAAATATGGAAACAATTATAACTTTTTAATAAACAAAAGAGTATTTCAGTACAATTTCAAGTTAATTATTTAGAGTTTATTGATTATTTAATTCTGTAAAATTTTATAGTGTTCACCAGAAGTGCGCTTCACAATCTTGCTTTAAATAAAAAGTCATTTAGAGATGATATTTGGCCTATGCTGTATATTCAGACATTCTGTTCTTTTCACATACTGTTACTCGCCTGCTATACAGCAGAGAAGAAGTGAGCACAGCCCAGGCTTTGGATCAGAGCGACCGAGTAGGAATTTAAAAGGCCATTCAAAAACAGGCTATTTGTGAACGATCGGCTGATCTTATAATATGCGTTGCTTAGCTTGAGCACACTGTGACGGTTTGTTCCAGCAGATTCACCCCTGCGAATCACCTATGAGGAGGTGAGAGAAGTTCTCCTCAGCAAAATGTCACCCTCCTTTGAGACCGGCAGTGCTGTATGGAAGAATGGCTATATATAACTCACGTCCCAGCGCAAGACTGGAGACTTAAACAGCTGAATCTTATTACAGCGGGACAGCTGGAAGAGCAGAATCGCTGCGTGTTGGTCAGACGTTGACTTCATTGAATTATAACTGGATGAGTTGAGTCGAACTCAGCGCTCAGTTGTCTCTCTGCGTAGCTACCTTTCCCAAACGTGTCTGGGCCCAGTGTGTGAGAGTGTGACGTTTGAGTCAGTTTTTTTGCGGCTGCTGTGTAAGAGCTGTAATTATTCGGCTCATGAAGGGAAGAGGAGACCTGTGGGGAGGAAGAAGTATGAAGTGACAAAGAACTGCTCTTCCAGCTGACTTACCTTAGAGCCTCGCTCGTTAAAAATAATTTCCACATCCAAAATTTTCCCAAATTGCTGCGGAGAGGAAAAGGAGATGGGTGGGGGGAAAAAAGAAAAGAGGGGAGACAGGGGAGAAAGAAAGAGAGACAGAGAGAGAGAGAGGAGTAATTAGAACTCATCTCTTCTGCAGTTTGTCAGGAAACTTGAGCACTTGATTGCACAGCGAACTAAAATAGTAAATCCACCAGTTTCTCTGGAGCTATGAACACGCCAGACAAAGCTTCACACTTCTCCTTCTCCATGATGGCTAAATGATACTGATGAACACAACGGCTCCAGTAACATATTACAACATTACTCAGAGTAAAAGGTAAATAATTACAGTCTCTCTATTCACTATGTTACTAAGTTAACTTTTAACACTTTTACGTTAGTTTCTTTTTCTCAGTGTTGACTGAATGAGGGGATGTTAAGGGTGGAAACTACTTATGGCCCGCTTCCACTGGATGGAACAGTGAGGTACGGTACAGTTTAGTACGCTTTTATAGGTGTTTACAGTTTCAAAAGGTACCTAAAAGCAAACCATACTATACCACTTTTCGGGTACCCTTTGCAAAGGGTACCTAGCCCAGCAAAAGGCAGAGATAGATGCTCAGCTGAATGCTATTGGTTTACAGAGATACGTCACTCGCTCATGCAACAAGCCAGAATGAAAACAAAGGAACTGTCATGTTTTAAATACACAGCCGAGGCATTACACCGTAATAATAGATACATATAGTAACGAGCCAGATTCTACACTGTTCCCTGTAGTTTTTTGCAAGGCCGTCTAAAGAGCAAGATGATTCTCTTTCTCGCTTGCGCTTGCTGCACGTCTATATTTGAAATAACAAACTTCTTGAGCTGATGATAATAACGAGTGCGCATGATTATTGAAATGCTTCTGACATCCAATCCTGTCAGAAACGAACAAACACGAGAGAGACGCGCGGAAAAAAAGAAGATGCCGGTAAAAACAAAGGAGGGAATGATTTTTGCAGCAAACATTAACTTTTGGAATATTGTGATCTTGGAATGACGGAATTACTTTCTAACAAGAGGTTATATGTGCTGGTGAAGATTAAAGATACAGATGAGAGGTTTGCTCTGACTGGGCTATATGTTTCATGCTGTTTTTAAACCCAAATAAGGACTAAATGCATCCTGTGTGTAGTTTATCTGTAATTGGTAACTTATTGAAGACTGTAAGGGTCTTTATGTGATCATATGCTGCATTTAATTATTTATTTTATGTAATTGCAGATGTTACAGTAGGCTATTTCTCACTGATCTGCAGTTATAATCAAATGATGTTTATAGACAAGTTAGTAATGAGCATTTATACACAAGTATTTAGATGTATAAGGCATCTGTTTTGTGAGAAGTTCTTCTCATATACAGTATGTGAACGACCCATACAGCTTTACTGTAGACATTTTCTCGAGCGAGAATGACCTTGACTGAAATTTTCTGACACCTATTGGTGTCAAATCCTCCTGCAAATCCTCATGTACCACCTTTTGCAGCTTCAATTCCAACAACCAGTCTTTGCAAAAACGCGAGTAAGACCGAATCTTCTTTTAAAAAAAGTTTACTGAAGAAATGCAAACAAAAATACAAAGTTACCATATAGACTCAATCAGCTCCGTCAAAAAACTGTGTTGCTTCCAACATCCATAACTGCAATCTGACTTAAACGTATGAACTAATGACCTCATGACGTATTGCTGTCGGAAGCCAAAATACCAAAGTAAAAGGTTTTAATTTGTATCAATTATTAAATTATGCATTTTAGATGATACAATCACAATGAATTCTTATTATATTTAAATATAAATTTTTATCATGTTTTAACCTTTTTAACTAAATTATTATCACAAACGAATTATGCACAACTGGCTCTTACACTGAAAAAGGTAACCTGTACCATACCATACTGTACTACTCAGTGGAAACGGGAAATTAAACGTCATAACATATAATATTCATTATCTACTTTTAATGTTAAGTAAAAAACTGAATATTACCATTAACTATATTAAAAATACTATATAACCTTATTAGTGTCTTTATCTGCAGAGTTTGATTGTTTTATTAATAAGTGACACAATTTACTAATTTGATTTGTTGTAAACATAAATGTACATTATGTAGGAACACAAATGAATAAATTATGACCAAAACTAGTGAATCTTTTTAAAAGTGAGTCAATGAATTGTTTAATTATTCTATTGATTATAAACACTTTCAAAAGAAAACACTAAATCAATAAGTCAGTAAATTATTCCTTCATTTGATTTGTTTAATGCACTGTTTTTAATATGACCAAATCAAGTGAATCTCTTTATGAGTCAGTCACTAAACCGTTCACTCATTTGATTCAATCAAAAGACCGACTCTAAAGGAACAAAATAAAACTAAAATTCGCTAAATTAAAAATTCAGAAACTAAATAATAAGACATTAATATTTGTTTGCTAAAAATTGAGGATTCTGCTTAAAACAAGAACACATATCTACCAATTGAATCAGAGAAAATCTATTTGGTATTTTTTTGTCCCCACCGGCTGATTTCGATTTATAATTTAACATTCAAAAAGAATGAACACAGCTAGTAATTCAAAAGTTGTGATTGTGCATTTTTGTGATCTAGAGTGAGTCTGTAAATCCTTCACTCCCCTGAAAAACAATTGTTCATTTAGTATAAAAGTATGTATACATACTTCTAAAAAAAGTATGTGTAACAACTTATTATGACAAATTATGGTAACCATTCACCAAGCTGTTCAAAAATATTTTAAATGTTTAAAAACATTCAGGCAGAAAACATGAATCATTGATTTAATAAGACTGATTAATTCACAAAATACTAACATGACTTCAAACCAGTGATCGCTCCACTATATGCTCCTCTATTCATTATATATAATGAACGTTTGAAAGAGTATCTCAGATCCTATGATGTAAATTTAATTGAGGGCTTTTATTTGGAGCTGCCTAACCAATTGTGCTACATGAAGCTCTGGGCTGGGTCGGGACTCTGGGAACAAGCAGGACATATACTGCTGATGGGAGCAAACTTCAAAAGATCACAGCGGCCCCCTGTAGTGTATGCACCAGCGCTCTTAATGACACGATATGGCTTGTTATTTTCTGTGGTGTTTTTGACTGATAAAAGCTGGCCGAAGCCGCGGCAGAGGGTATTTCTGGCTTGACTTAACACCAAATGCCCGACTCAATTAAAAAAAGGATAATTGGATATAGAGCAGCCATCATCGCTGATGATAAACCATATATTTGTTTATTATCTCCGTGACGAATACCACCCTCGTAATTACCTGTCACTTCAGTTATTATTTTCCAGCTATTTGCGCGCCGTTCTGTGGTTTTATCTGATTGTCATTCTCTGAAACGCCCAATCTCTCATTTTTATTCTCTAATTAGCATTAGCCATGAGGCATTGACCACTCCCTCTGAGAACACAGCAGTGTCTGGAAGCTTCTTTTGGGCGCTGAGTGCAGCAGATAATGGAAAGAAACCCAAACTTTCTTGGCCTCTGGCAGAATGCTGCTCATACCTGTGGCCAGAGGGTGAAGCCCGAAGAGACTACGGTCAGATCAGGAGTGATAAACACCACTACGCTTGGTGCACACAGCGCAGAGCGCCTTAACGTTAACCTCTCTCGCCTTATGCTAATAGAGATCCTGGTAAGGGAGCTCCGCAACGAGACCTTGAATCAAGCAGGTTTATTTCAATAAATAAATAAACATGCCAGTGCATGCCAACACAAGGTCACCGCTGCTCTAGCCGAAGGAGGAGACAGCTTCTTAAAGAAGTAATTTGGAACAGGCTTAAATAATTGGTTAGATGGAAGCAGGAGGCTCCAGGGTGCACTGTTATAAATGTGCCGGGAAGCATGACTGTTTATATGAAAGCGTAGGACAGCAATTAGAGCAACCACACAAAGTGAAACATGTGATAAAGGTTCTGTTTGCATTTCTCTCTTCCACTTTGGCGGTCGCAGGAGAGGAGTGACGGCCGGCCCGGAGCTCCCCGGAGGGTTAACGCCGCTTAAGCGTTCCATTTAACGCGGCCGGCTTTGGAGATCATTACAGAATGTGGAGAAATGAAAGCAAAACCTTAAGTTCCCCTAATGGGCGGAATGAAAGCAGGTTTTAATTGCTGTCTAAAATGGCTGTATTATTTCATTAAAACTAATTACCCTGTCAAGCAGGCCGCATCGGCTTCATTTCAGCACAACAGGGGAGAAATGGGCCTTCCAGGCACCTACGGCTCAATGGGATTGATCGAGGGCCCGGGTCACTAATAAGGTTAAGAAGAGCCGCCTTTCATCCGCCCAGCCGTGGGGAGAACTCGAGGAGGACTGTATATGAGCATGTTTGCGAAGAACGAGCCACTCTGATCTCACTCAAGAAAGAAAAAAAGAGAAGTGACGCCTTGCGGTTCATTTTGGCCGGCTGTTGCTTGATCTGCTTGTTTTTCCAGCCCAATTCAAATTCCACAGCCAAACCCAAACAGCTGCTACTTGACACGATTCCCTCCATTTGTTCAAATTAAGACGCTTTTTTTCTCCCCCTGCCAGAGCCAGAATCAAACGCCGGCATTTGCATCTCAGCGTGAACCTGCTCACGACCGCAGACGATTCGCTCTAAACAAAGTATGCGGATGCTAATGGTTTTAACCCACCCTAATGGGTTTATGGTATTGCTGAAATATTTCCCAGGGTAGTCATCCCTGGGAAAACCCAACTAATCACAGCTAGTCACCATAGGCCCTATCATCGCCACTGCCTTGCAGCAGAGAGCTTTAATAAGAGTGTAGGCCTACATGAAATTAGGATCAATGGGAGATCGCAGTGCAAGACTGCTGGTGGTCTACACACTTGATAGGTTTGGGAAACGCTTCAAGAGTTGTTTGAAGCAAGTCACTGTTGGTGTGAAAACGGAGGGGGAGTAGTTCAAAAAGCGAGCTGGTAGTGTGACATCAAGACAGTTTTGTTTGGAAATTAAGCAGGTA